CCTTCTAGAATTCATAGAGAAATAGTTTACATCTCAACCATTATATGTACACAATGATTTAATAGAAAGAAACTCGCCTTTTAAATTTAAGTACAATAAAATTTAGTTTATCTCGAAAAAACACCAATAAATGTGATAAAGAACTTTTACCACCTCTAAGCACAGTGTAGTTGCTCTAATAAAGTTTATAAAAAATTCATAAAAAAATATATCACAATTTTCTAGAGGTGCTCCCATATCACTAAATATCAATCTTATGATATTTAGGAATTTCATAAATCAAATAAAAACAAAGATCAACTTAAAATGCCACGTAAAAGTCAAATCTATAATATCACATTACACGATAATTAGCCAACTGTAATTACGTATATCATTATCATGCAACACTTCAAAATTACTGAGCAAAAAAATTCTGTTCTTACAATAGTCATTTCCCACAAAAATATCATTTTTGGTCATAACAAATTTGTCACAACCAAAAGAAACTTTAACCCCAACTTTTTTTAAGAGAGAAATGGAAACTAAATTAGTCCGATCTCGGGTGCATGAAACATATCATTTAGTGATAAAGTTTTCCTCGATGTGAGCTTAAGAAGAACTTTCCCTTTTCCATGTACCTTAGCGGTTTTTGACTCCGCTAGATACACGAGCTCTTCACCATCTCCTATAATAGTATAGGAGGTAAAAGCATTTTGTTTTCTTTTACAAATATGCTTGGTAGCCCCGGAGTCTACCGCCCACTCATTCACATCATTAGTTTTACAACTTTGAGAAACAACCGCAATAAAATTATCATCACTACAAACCAAGTTTGAACTTGATTTTAGTGAGTTGTCGTTTTTCATGGTTGTCATTTTATCACTAAATAAACGAATAACATTTTTTCTTAAAAAGTGGAGTTAAAGTATGACTTATTGTAAGTAGGAAAGTGGAGAGACTAACCATTATACGTAGAAGACTTTTGTGAGCGTTTATCCGATAAATACGGTCCCCCATGCGGGTGTATCACAACCTCCTTCGCCGCGCACATGTAGAGATAACATAACCCTAAATCCCCGATGAGTGCGGCGGCAATGCCTTGTGAGATTATATGTGCAGGCATATCCGATGCGAAATACTTTCTTGAGATTGTTGGAGGAAATTCGCCGGATAAACCTGCAAAAAATTGTTAGAAAAATAATATAGCTCGAGTCGCGTAAACGCTGTCCACAAGAAAGTATTTCCGACTAGCGAAAACCTTTCCCCAAGATAAAACGAGCTCTTCGGCGTAAGCCGGTAACAGAACAACGAGAGTAAAATATAATTAATCCAGCAGAGTTGTAATGTATTAGGGGATGTTGAACACAAAAATAATTTTATCTCACAATCATCTTAACTAGCTTGGCTGAATGCACATATATATACTCAAAGAGATGAACGTTGCTACATGCTCGATCAGATGAAATGTTAGAGTAGTAACGTTCATATTATTAATCAATAAGATCCCACTAATGTTGAGATTAATGTTGAAAAATTCTTCAACTCCCACTAAGTTAATTAAGCATATACGGAGTATTAGTAATAAAGGCTCAAGAACGTTTCATACGTTTATGTTGAGCCATTATTAATTTGAAAGCTTAGTAACCAAGAGTGGAACATTTACCTTTTAATAAAAATAAACATTTTGTATTCTTATGAAAATAAATGGATATTAATGATATGATAACTCCAGAGCTCACAAACCGTACAAATAATGTTTTATTTGTAAAATCTAATTAAATTAAAAGGTTATCAAAATAATTAAACCAAGTAAACTTTATTCATTTGAAATACTTTAAATTTTTCCAACAGGGTGCGGCTCAGGTGAGAACACTTTAACGTGAGAAATGAGAACGCTCCAAAATGATGCACGTTACCATTCACGAAAACGCACATTTATAGTTAAAGTAATGCAAAAATAAAATGTGCACATTCATGTTTAAACTTTTGCACACTTGGAATGCACATTTTCCAATTTTTATATGCGCATTTCTATTTTACATGATGCACGATACTCAAATCCAATGCTTCAGAATCATTCTTATTTTTCTTCTAAGATTATATTCTCATGTGATCCCTACCCTATGTATATTTACAAGAATTTAAATATATATACACAAACCTATACATACACAGACATATATGCACACATATACATTTTATAATGTACACACACATATAATAAATGTATACATATGTATATGTATATGTATATGTAGAGTAGTCTTCCGGTCAAGTATACCTGACCGGAGCCCCGTCCGGCCTCCTCCATTTGGGGGCCTTCCCGGTGGTATTTTTTGCTCAAATTTTTTGTGTAGGTTCCTCATCAAGTCTAGTTCATCCATACCAAATTTCAGCCAAAAATTCAATCGGGAAGTTCGTCAAATGATTTTTGCAAGTTAACTGGTCCGAAAAATACATATTCCGTACCAGTTAACTTGCAAAAATCATTTGACGACCTTCCCGATTGAATTTTTGGCTGAAATTTGGTATGGATGAACTAGACTTGATGAGGAACCTACACAAAAAATTTGAGCAAAAAATACCACCGGTAAGACCCCCAAATAGAGGAGGCCGGACGGGGGGGGTGGTCCGACCTGGCCGGACCTGAATACTTATATGTATATGTATATGTATATGTATATGTATATGTATATGTATATGTATATGTATATGTATATGTATATGTATATGTATATGTATATGTATATGTATATGTATATAATTATATAAACATACGGAAAAGATCCTGTCTAGGCGTCCGGTCGTTGCCGCCGTCCGGCGGTTCCCGGTGGTATTTTTTGCTAATTTTTTTGAGCATGTTTTTCATCAAGTCTAATTTTATTCACACCAAATTTCAGCTTAAAATTTAACCGGGATCTAAATGCAGTCAAATACGTTTTTGAAGATAAATGCGCCAAAATATGCATATAAAACGCAATTATTTTCAAAATTTTATTCGACTGCCTTCCCAATTGAGTTTTAAGTTGAAATTTGGTATGAATAAACTATACTCGATGAAAAACATGTTCAAAAATTTTCATCAAAAAATTCTACCAGAAACTGCTTCAAACGGCAGCGGCTGGAGGGTATTGTCCATCCGGCTGGACATATCATTCCTCTAACTAATCAGTGGCGGAACCAGAACAAAAATGGAGGGGGGGGGGGAGAAAAAAATTTGGAACCGTTGGTTGGAAAGATCTATAATTTGTACCGTTGTTTGGTTAAATATAGACATTTATTCATTTTTATACTTGTTTTGTTAGTGCCTAAACAAAATAATAGACCTCTTTTATCAAACGAGTTTATTTCGATTTAATACGTTTGCCCATTTATTTTAGAATAACAAGGTTTAAATAAAAATATAGCTACACATTTAGGGGAAGATAAATTAATAATATATATAAGTTACTAATGTGAAATAATGGGAAAGGGGTACTCCAATAGGAGTCCTGACAGATATATTTATAATAGAAGAGTTGCCAAAATACAAAGTATTCCTAAATAGATATTAGGCAGATTCCTAAATATCTCTTAGGTAGATTCCTAATTATATTAGCCTATTACACCCCCTGAAACTATGCGGGAGATACGACGCGCAGGTTGTCTTTTAAAAAAAATGAAATTGCAAACTAAAAAAAAACCTCTTAGTAAATATATCCGTGAGCGGAAGATTAAAAGGCACATCTTTGACAATAAGATCTCCATGAGAATATATGTCTGCAGCAGCAAGCGGCGAACTCAACAGCGCGCTTGAAGCAAGCACCGTGGTCAGCGACGCAGAGAAGGTGGGCTGCGCGGACATAGGCAGCAGCAGGCGGCGAACTCAACGGCATGCTGGAAGCAAGCACCATGTTCAGCGACGCGAAGGAGGTGATCTGCGCCATATTAGCCGCGCTCATCTTCAAAGGATCGGAGACTACCGTAAATGTGGCGGCAGTCGACCCCAAGGCGGCGGCGGCTATAATAAGGTTCATGGGAACCGAAAAAAGAAAAAAATTGTATCTACAAACCTAGAGCTCTTGATACCATGTGAAATAATGGGAAAGAGGTACTTCAATAGGAGTCCTGACAGATATATTTATAATAGAAGAGTTGCCAAAATACAAAGTATTCCTAAACAGATATTAGGCAGATTCCTAAATATCTATTAGGTAGATTCCTAATTGTATTAGCCTATTAACTAACTTATCAAGACAATAATAATTTTATTATTCTCTTTTCAAATCACCATTACTTGTAGGTTATTTATATTTTTAAAGGATATTTGTTTTATTTATGCAAATATATTACATAAATCTAATTATACTCATATAAAGTCAGATATTTCAAATATCAACAAGAATTTGTGGCATATTTGTACTGAGCCAAGGAATAAATAAATAGTTATGTTAAAATCCAAGTCATTTTGAAAAATTTCTTGATAAACTCCTTAAAAAATGATATAGGTCAATGTTTGAAGAGGGAGGTCAATGTTTGAAGAGGGAAGAAATAATTAAAAGTCATTTTTTACGGTTATTGTACTAAAAAGAAAACGTACTTCTATATAACATGTTAATATTCGAAAAAATAAAAAATACGTAGTAAATATGTATATTTAGAAAAATAAAAATGTAACATAAAAGTGAAAGAAATTTGGAGTGGTTGAGGAAATATTAAAACTAATAATATCCCCAAAATTTAAGAAACTAGAGGAAGTTTAAAAAAACTTAAGAGACTAGAGGAAGTTTGTTTAATACGTACGCACTTATTAAAAAAGGGCATGACAGGACTTGAACCCGCGTCTTCCCAGAAAAATTAAACGCTTCAACCATCAATGCTATTTAAATTGTCACTTTAGACTGCAGACACGGGTTAATTAACACTTCAATCAGAATTACATAAATTTCAACAAAATAAATCAAAATAGTCGATTTTCTTACTATCAAACTGGCTCTAAAGAGAGCTCTGGTTATTCGTTATCCTTAATTGATACGGAGTAATTAAAAGGCCGTCATATGCGGATATAGCTTACCCGTAAGAACAGAAAGAATTCCAAGAAAGAAAAATGAAAGATCCTTAGCTGTTATGCACGGAACATATTATTTAATGTGCGGAAAAGAATAGATTTACCCGGCAAAACACAGTCTTGACTCATTCCCAGCAAATCTCTCCCATATATCGCCTAACTGGAAAACCCACCGCTTACGCAAAGGGAGAGAAAAAGCTGGAATGATGAAGCTCATCATTTTCTGCCTTTTTCTGGGCGCCGCCGCTGTGGAGGGCCATGAATTTGCCGAGGAGTTCTTCTTCAATAAGACAGAGTTGCCATTATTGGAATCTGTGTCCAATAATGGAGCTGCCGACACTAATCCTGCCCCTCGCTTGGTTCCCCTTACTCTTATTCAAGGAGCTGCAGCTAAAGGAGCTGGTATTTTGTTTTCATTTTCCTCCTTTTTCAAGAGAAAATATATATTCATAGTTGCTTTTTATTACAGAAATGATTAGGGGAGCTTTATTTCTTTTCTTCATTAGCTATCATTACCTATCCTTTTGTTTTATTTTACTTATGGATATGTGTTTCTTATCGGCACGTATCTATGTGTATTGGGTCTATTTTGTTACTTGTTATGATTATGAAAATATGAACCAGATGAGGACTACTGGGTTTAGTCCTGTTGAGTATTGAGTAGCATAGATCTTGAACACAGAGACAACCACATGGCCACATTGCACATATCTAATTTGGTTCAAATAAAGAGTAGTTCTTGGATGTAAAACGAGGACTAATCTTGATCGATCTCATCTGAACGAATGAATTGAAGAGATAAATTTTAAGTAAAAACACGGCGGTATTGTAATTATGAATTACTTTTAATTGAAATATGGTGATAAAAGTGCATCCACATATAAAATACTACGTAGTACGTAAGTATATCTCTATATCTCAGAAGTGCATTATAATGTGAATATATTGCACATTACTACATTAGTACAAATAGTGATAACTGTTTCAGCGGCGGACACAAAGGGGGGCAATGAGGGGCTGCCGCCCCTCCGAAAAAAAAAAATTCTAGGTATATTTACCCCGAAATTTTTAATATATATGTATTTGTATGTATATTCTTCTACTGCCGCCCCTACTATCGGGAAATCCTGCGTCCGCCGCTGAACTGTTTTAAGGGTAATGTTATACTTTTACATAAAAGTATAATGCACTTTATATAATCAAGTTTTCACATTAGTGGTCAACATATTTACAAGTTAACACTGCTTTTTTCTATGGAAAGTTCATCTAATCCATGTATTTTCATTTTTATAACCATTTGACGTTTCACTTGAGTCTGCCCCTATATGTGTGTGTTGGAGCCCTCCTTATTTGGAGAGAACCTAGAAAATTTTAGAAATTTCTACCGAGCTTTCCTAATAATTTTAAATCACTGCTTTTATTATGTTATTTCTTTGACACAGTTAAATTTAATTTTTCAGTAGGGGTTGCTAAAAGTTGTAGTTTCCTAGATCTAATGATGGTGTGGTAAAATTATTCTTCAAGAGCCAATAGTATTTTGTTTTTTGTTAATTTATCAATTCAAATATGGTTTGATTTGGTTTATATGTGTGTGTTGATGTATATATCTGCAGTGTGTCTTGATGGGACATTACCTGGTTATCACATTGATCTGGGCTACGGATCGGGATCAAACAGTTGGCTCATTCAAATGGAGGTTTGTCTGAAGCACTTTGAACAATAACAATAATACTCCGTAATGTTAATCATTTTTTAATAAAATTGCTAAATGTTATAAAATAAATCTGCATGAACTTTTGTACAAATGAAATTTGATTAACAATTGACAAAAGAAGTGTATGATTTCATCTTGGTTACAGAAAAGCTTTAAAGGTAAAATCATACACTTATGACAAGCTTGACGCCCTTCACATTCAGTCAGCACAGTTGTAGATCTTGAAATTTCAAACCTCTTCTAGACTTCTTAACACACATTCTTGAGCAGCATACACTTCTGCTTGAGTCATGTCATCATTCCTGAAATTAAATTATACACCACACACACATATATATCTACTCATGTATACACCACACCATACATACATACATACATTAATACACACATACACCTATACACAGACATATATGTACATATATACATTTACATGTACATACACATATATCTATAAATATATACATATATTTATGTATATGTATGTGTACATATATTGCAAAAAGAAGTGTTTCCCGTGCAAAATGCAAACAAATGAGCACATATGCACTTTTACCTGTTCGTAATGCACCTTAACGTTCAAAACAAAATATATTTTCTGTGACAAAGATGCACAGGTGCCCTTTACCCATCCATAATGCATTTTCATGCTCAAACTAATGCATATTATGCGGTGATGCAAATCACCATATTTTAGCCTTTAGGTCTTAAATCCGATGCTCCTTATTTGTTTTCATTTTGCATGGAAGGTGACTTTTTATTTGATCCAAAATTTATACATACACATACATACATATGTGTGTATGCTGTGTATAATTGTATATACTGTTGTTTTTTTAATATATGAAACCTAAGGTGTCTAAGCAAACTTACAATAGGGTGGTGGATGGTGTAACACCATTAGATCATGTGTTTACCGCAAGACAACGCGCCGCGGGTCATCAAACTTTATGGAGAAGAATCTTCCATTTACGGGAATCTTGAGCAATAAGGCCGAAGAAAATCCAGGTTAATTATTCAGTGTATCTGTTAAATGGTCTATGTAACATTTTCAAATATATCCTCTTTAATTCATTTCTTTTCAAGCTTCTGCGATCTCAGTTTGCAGCAATTTTTTCTCCAGATTTTTACAACTGGAATAGAATTAAAGTCCGCTATTGTGATGGTGCATCATTCACTGGAGATAGTGAAAACCAGGTTTTTGTTTATTGTTGAAATCATTGTTTTTTCGCTTTGGCTGCTAATGCTGCTCTATTTCTGGGATGGAAATGGCTAGTGGAACTTTATATATCACCGGTTTTTCATTAGATAAGTGAGGTGCTTGGAAATATTTTGTCCTAACAAATAGATCTTAGCATAAAATAACTTCAGTACACTTTTGTAACAGTTATGAACTTCTTTCTTCAAAAGGAAAGCATCAGAGTTGTTGAGCTTACAAGGGTTTCATTGAACCGCAAGTTTGTTAATTTATTATTAACAAGAGATAATATATACTCGATTTTCCAACAGGCTGCACAGCTACAATTTAGAGGGCAGCGCATATATCAAGCTGCAATGGATGAGTTAATGTCGAAAGGAATGCGTCACGCCGAACAGGTAGTGTTTTCTAAGCTTCTCATTTATATATATTCTTAATATCAGTTTTCCTCATCTTGCAGTTGTTGTTGTTAGTAGTAGTAGTAGTACTAGAAATAATATGACAAATTAACTAAACTGAAACTAATGGATAAAAGTATGGCATTTAGAAGTTACAACATAGTGTTTATTGTGGTACTTTTGCTGTGACAATGGCGAGGTTATGTTTTACTGTGCAGTGACTATGTTGGTATTTTTGCAGTGGCTATAATGACCATATACACACATTTTTGTCCATAAGTTTGTTTTAGTAATATTAAAAGAAAAACTTATGATACCATTACTGTTTTTTGTTGTCGCTGAAACTATTTTTATTATGATTGCTGTTGTTATTACTATTATTATTTATAGTTTGTTTTCTTGCTAATTGTGCTTTCAGTCTCTTCTTTCTGGATGCTCTGCTGGCGGTCTTGCTTCAATATTGCACTGTGATGAGTTCCGAAGTTTATTTCCTAGTAGTACTAGAGTGAAGTGCTTGAGTGATGCTGGACTGTTTATGGACGCGTAATTTCCAACTCATTTATGGTTCATCAATTACAAAAAAATTACGTGTTTCAAATTAAGATTAAGGATATATTTTTAGAATTAATAGCAATGGTTGTCCTTTATGGATTTGCAGAACAGATGTATCTGGTGGTCGTAGCCTAAGGAATGTCTTTGCAGGGGTAGTAAGCGTACAGGTATATCACTAGTAAAATTTAACATGTAGCGTTCTGTTTTTTTGCTACGCTTTTCTATATTGACTGGTCATCTCTATGTGATGCCTATATGGTATTGTGACTATTCTTTTGGTGCTATTTGACTTTTGAGTTACACCTAGCTCACCTAAAAACGTTCCTCAAGATGTGAGGTTGACATCATAATACTAGACTAGAATCAAATCGTCTGTCCGTGTGAACTAATGTAAAGATAAAAACTTACATTTAAGACGTTGAACTTCTTTTATCTGGATGATCTTTTAGGCATAATCCCAAATTTTAAGACGGTAGTTGAGTCAATAAAAATGAGATGAGTCATATTATCGACTAAGATTAAAAGTGAGCACATAAATTTTAAGATTTTTTAGTTTTAACAAGCATACAAATTATTACCATTTCAAATAGAAGCTGTATAGCTTGAGATTGAGATAAAACCGCTCATCACTTACAGTTTTCGTTCGCTATTTTATTTAGGATCTTGTGAAAACCCTGCCACAATCTTGTACATACCACTTTGATCCAACCTCAGTAAGTCTTTCCTCTTTCTTTTCTTCTCATCACCAGCTCATATATGGTTTCCTGGTTCATACTTCATTGCTAATAAGGTTTTGCCCTGCCTATATACTTTCAGTGCTTCTTTCCTCAGAATTTGATTGGCAACATCAAGACTCCTCTCTTCATTCTCAATGCTGCTTATGATTCATGGCAGGTAGCGCAGATTAACATTTGAAATATGAAATGAATTACTGTACAATGAAGTAAGATGTGGTAAATGAAAAAGGTATTGAATTAGCTGAACAAGCAGATACCAAAGGAAATCAAGTACACAGGGTGCCTTGACAGAAAAGAAATTGCACTTTGGATATGTCAATAAGTGAAAAGTTATATTACCACTCTTATCTCAAACTGCCTGCAGATTTATTATGCCTTGAAGATCTCACATTTAAGCCATGTACTAAATCAGAATCGTTCTCAACGAGCTCATTGAAATTGATCCCATTTTTTTCGCAAATAAGAGTGTTAATAAATGTTTTGTGCTAGAAGTAGTATTCATTCACTTCTAAAAAAGAATTAAAGTAGTTATAATTCTTCTTTTACGAGTGATTGAGTCTTATTTTCAGGATAAAACAATGATGTTCCTATTTGAGGAAACATGTTATATTTTCGTCCAATTTATGGTCCCCCAGAAAAGGGAAACCGATTTTGTTAAAGTTTTGCAGAAAGCAGACTTATACATTTTGGCCCAAAAAGACCCATATCCCAAGCAGAAACAGACATGACAAACAACATAACCAAAACACCAAATTGAATATCAGTTAGATGCATCAACACTAAAATTGGAGTCTTTTTTCTTTCTTTTGTCCCACTTCCCTTCAGCTCCAAGAGAGTTTGACTCCTCCTTCAGCTGACCCAAATGGCAGCTGGCACAGCTGCAGATTAGACAATCAGAAATGCTCTAAATCACAGATTGATTTTCTGCAAGGTAATCTAGTATTGGCTTCTTAAAGCTTATCTTGTACTACGTAGTATTTTATTATGGTCTCACTTCAATTCACTTTTTTTATCTATCAGAGTTCAGAAATAAGATGTTAAATACTCTAAAGGGTATTACAGCTTCTAAACAAATGGGATTATTTATAAATTCATGTTTCGCTCACTGCCAATCTGAGAGGCAGGATACATGGTTCGCTGATGACTCTCCTGTTATCCGTAACAAGGTATGCAAGGGAACAATCACTATCGTACATGTTCAGTTGTGTTGATGTAATTATATCACATCAGTTAATTATAAATATTCAACTATTAACTCATGAAATCGGGTTACTCTCTCCTCCGATCAGATTTACTGATAACACTCAAGTCTCAATATGATACTAGAAGCCGTTATAAATATTTTCACTTGCATTGATTTCACTTAAGCAGATCGAACTACGATAATAGTAAAGCACACTTAATACCAGCCCTTACTAGACTAGACTAGACTTCAACAGAATAATTCAAACTGGACTAGACTTACACAGACTAGTTGAGACCTGACATGATCTAAAACTTTAAGCCACAGTGAAAAATCCTAAGCTCCAATGAGATCTCAAACTACTTTTCAATTAATCTTTGGTGATGGAATCTCAAGATTTAATATGGGTTCGGATCCTAACCACATTGTGTGTCGTTTGTTTGGCTCCCATAGTTTGGGTAGCTCATTTGGGGTTAAGAGGAAAAGAATGAACCACCAATGTAAGATGCACCCCGAGTCTTGGATGTTCTTAAGATTTGTATGAATCATTTATGCTTTACCGTTGGTACTTCAGTTAATTGTTTGTTGTTTCATGTATGTTTGTTACTTATACATTATGGTATGGCCTCATATAATATAGACTATAGAGAGAATGCAGCACTCATAATGTTTGGCAACTGCATTTGCTTTTAAAAAAATGCAGGCAATTGCACTTGCAGTGGGAGATTGGTATTTTGATCGGGCAAGAGCAACATACATCGACTGTGCATACCCTTGTGATCGATCATGTCACAACTTGGTCTTCAGATGAGCATGCAATTTTGACTTTTCACATATTTTAATCTTATACCCCAGCGGAAAATTTTCGCAATGTATAGGATCTTCAGAATCACCTGTTCCAATTCAATTTGTGTAGTTTGTGAATTGTTGAGGTTTTGTTTTTTGTAATAAATTGTGTTTTATTTTTCTTTTTGTTTTTGGGCAATCATAAAAATAGTGGTAATAATTTCATACAATATACTACTAGTATATTACTACGTATTAGGCTAGTAGTTTTGGGACAATCCTTTTTTTCTATACAGTGTGTACACAGTACACTCTGCTCTCCATATCGAAATTAATTTTGTAGGTTGAATGTTTTTTTTAATTGGATTGACATTTGCTTGTTTGGTCTGCATCCGACAAATGGTTGATTTATTTGTACTTTATAACCATCAAAGTTTATGTTTGATTTGAGATTGTAACTTGTCTAATTAAAAACTTAAAAACATTCGTAGAATTCATGATATGTTGGACAACGTTTTTATTGACTTCATAAAATGATGGACTGGGCCCGGGTTGACTGGCCTGTTGACCGGCCTGGCCCAGTACTGTGTAGTACCAGCCCGACCTGCCAACTGGGACCGGATCAACTGCCCGGTGAGGTGGGTTTTCAGGGCGGGCAGCGGGCTCCGGGTGCATGAAAATGGGGACCGGACTGGGCCTTTTTATTTTTATTTTTTGATTTTTTGGGTTTGGGCCTATGGTAGGTGGGGTGTTGGGCTGGGATGAGTGTTTTGGCGGGGTTTGGAATTTGGGGGGGGGGGGGGGGGGATATAAGAAAAGCTATAAAAAAACTGAACCGGCCTGACCCGGTCCCGGCCCCGGCCCGGCCCTGGTAGAATCTTGGGCCAGTACCGGGCCTCACCCAAAAAAGTTGTCTTGGTTTGGACCAGCCCGGCCGGTGCAGGCCCATGCCCAACTTCATAAGTATGGGTTTCTTCAAAAATATGAAAGAGAAAAGTCACTATCATGTATTCTTTTGTTTGTTACATTACTTTGTTCACAAAATTTAAGAGTATAATAGTAGGGACATGAAATAATAAAAGTATGATGGGTGATGGAAAAGTGTGAAATATAAAATGAAAAAATCAGAAAAAAGTGTAATTAAGTATTTTTAAAGGAGAAAATTGCCAAAAAGGATAATTTGGCAAATAAGAAAAATACCTCCTAAAAAGAAAATTGTATCAATAAAAAAATACGGAGGGAATGATCTACAACTTTTTTTTAGAGTAAAGAGTTTCTACTGTCTAATCACTGGTCAAGTTAAATCACCCATAATCGTTTGTTTTATGTATCAAATCTTTATCAAATTCCAATTACTTTTTTGTGATTTTGAAGAATGTTTAATGTATTTTTTGAATATGAAAATTTTATTTACCAAAGTAATTTGAGTGTTGGCATAAATAAGTTAACTTTATCATCAGTCAAACATCCGCAGCTGGAACTGGAAGTTCTTTGTTGGATGGAGGGAGTAGCATTAGCATGCAAGTTACACATGTTGAAGCAAAACCTATATATAGTTTCATACATTGCTGGTAGTTAATGTAAATATAAATGCTTTGTAAGAGAAACGACCGACACCTACATTTTTTGGAACAATTAATTTCTTTTACATTAACCACTTTTTGTATTGTGCTATACACCTATACACAATAGTTACTACTCCATATAATTTTATATATTGTTGTAGAATTTAGTTTTATAATTTTATTATATTTACTATAAAAGCTAACCCATTTAGTTGAGCCACACTAATGACTCATGGAAGATACCTCACAACCTTTGTCACTTGAGCCATGCGTCCACAAAACCTAATTTTATTGCATATCTCATCACTGAATCACATTTCGTTCTGATGAATCGCCTCTATCACAAACTCTAATCATCAATAATAAACCCTCTTTATCACAACTCTGGCGACTCACCAAATATTTTATACATGATTCTTAGTTACTCTCAGATCTCAATCCCACCGTTTGTCAATTATCAGACTTTGCCGCAATTCATCTTATACAAATGAACATTTCAGTGATCATTTCTCAAATAAAACTTTTATTATATAAAAATCCTTAACGAACCAGTATAAGATGGGCCACACAGAGAAGAAGATCCATATGTCTATATATATGCGTGTAGGCGCACACGACGAAGGCGATGTTGAAAGATCATAGAAAATATAACACTCCTAGCCCTAGGGTTTACATAGTATGAGGAATCACAAATGTGGAGTATTTGGTCTCGCATTTAGTCATTTTTTTTGTCCATGTTAAAATAGATTATACTTTTGTCTATGATAAGAGTAAGAATAATATCGTTGTCATTATTTTATTAACTATATATAATTGTACAATCATCTTTAAATGTAATTATAATAGCTTTACACTTAAATGATAATGATATATTGATATTATACTTAAAATAACTTTACTTTACACTTAAACGATAAAACACTCTACACGTGAGGATATAATAAAATACTTTATACGGAGTAGAACACTTTAATTACTTTATACGCAATATGTGATTTAAAATAAATGCCCACATATAGAAATGATATACAGAGCACTCCCTCCCTGTTTGAAGCACTCCCTCCCTGTTTGAAAGATCACTACATTATGTCTTGACACAATATTTAAGAAGAAAATAGTAAGGTTAATGAATAGTATAGAAAAACAGGATATGAGGTGAAAAAGTAGGGAAAAAAAGATAAAAGAAAAACAATAAAGGAAAAATTTATCAAGAGAAAGTGTAACAAACTTTAAAAGACATGCCAAATAGAATTGCGTAACAAACTTTTCATAGTTTTTGCATTTTTTGCAATCATATTTAGTGAAAATTGTAATTGGCAGGTTTTTCTTCTCCTCAAATTGAGCCATCTTTTCTGCAATTATATTTTGTGCAATCCTTCTTCTCAAACACTCTAATATATGTTTCCACTCCCTGACGGAGAGAAGCAGTATTAAAAAGCAGATATAAACACCCTATAATTTTGGATTTACGCATTTTTTTTGAATAAATCTCACTTAGAGTACTTTGTATTTAAGTTTTTTATTCATAGTTTTTGCATTGTGTGCAATCATTTTTAGTGAAAATTGTAACAAAAATTATCTGACTAAAACGTTTGCGTATTTCAAAATATTACTATTATGTTTTTATTCCCTAAATATAATTAGATATGAGTAATTACTGTCATGTTTTGACCGTACCAGTCTTTATACTTGACAGTATTTTCGAAGTTTGTTAGTAATTATTTCTATTAAAAAAAACTTCTACTACCTCCGCACCCTAAGTTTGGGACAAGAGAAGGTGACACGTTTATTAATAAAAGTGAGTTTATGTGATTGATATTGATTTGATAAAGTAAGAATAAAGTAGGAATGATTTAGAACCACACAAATTTTAACAAATAAGGTATGAGACAATCTTAGTGGGACGGACCGAAAAGGTAAAATGGGACAATCATAGCGGGACGGAGGGAGTATTTTTTTATCGTCAAACCAACAAATATATTAAATCAACAAAACGTTCGTCACATGGCTAATAATACAATTAATGAAAAAGCAGGAAACAAAACGATAAAAAGCCTTCTATCTGTCGTCCGCCCTCAAACCAGATTTAGAATCTATCACCTCCATAGAAGCAATAATATTCGCTGATCCTGTAATGGGTTCAACTGAGCCAATTCAGTGACAGACAAATCAGACTTCTCATCACCTGACTTAAATTCTAGAATCTCTCTACTAGAAAATAAAAACACATCCAAAACAACATGTAAATTCGAAAGAAAAACACAAACATAATAAAACGGAATTAAAACAGAGTTCACCCATCTTCTTCCAAGCCCTAGACTCGCTTGCACTCCACGGCGGCGGCTCGGGAGGGGGACGCGTCCGCCGCTCATCCGCCTCAACAGCCATGCTTTTGTATTGATTGATGATATCCAAGCAATTGATAATCCTTGTTGCTGAATCGAACCCAAGCTCCGCCAGAGATTATCCACCTTTTCTTTTTCAACACTCGACCTTCGATCAGAAACAATAGTAGAAGTCGAGCCCTGACCGCCAAAGCGCTGCATCCCTGATCCCGAGCCTGCTTGCACAACCGAAATCGACCGACAATCACTCTTCATCGATGACGAAAGCGGAAGAACCAAACCATAAGTCGTAGGAAGATGACCACTTTTAAAAAAAACTTTTGAAAAGTTTTTAAATTTTCCCAAATTGTACTCCCTCCGTCCCAATTTGATTATCCAATTTCTTTTGGGTTCAAAGATTAAGGAAGTGGTTGAAAAGGTAAAAGTTGTGGTTGAGATTTGAGAAGAAAAAAGTGAAATGACGTGGACCACATATTTCTTTCCAAAAAGGGAAATGAGACTATCCATTTGGGACGGCCCAGAAAAGAAATACAGGATCATCAAATGGGACGGAGGGACTAATAGCCAACTTTTCCTTCTTCCCAAACTGAGCCATCTCTTCTGTAATCGTGTTTTTCATCACCACACATTTCCATCTGATGAATGCAATGTAACCATCGTCTCCATGCCACATCCTATCCACCTCTCTTCCACCGCAGCTCCGGTCACTCCTCAACTTCCCGCCCCACCATCCAAACTCCACCACCTCCCCCCTCCGCCTCCTCTCCCGGCTTCCTCCGAACCCACTCGTCGTGTAATTTCCTTCCTTCCTGATCCCAAACCACCCAAAGCCGCCGCACCAGTTAATACTCAACTCCAAGAGAATCTCCTCTACTTGGATTCCCTCGGGATAGACTCCTTCCGTTGCCTCACTTCCCATCCTCTGCTTGTCTCTGCCTCACTTTTCCAATTCAAATCCGTCATTGATTTCTTGTACACCCTAGACATCAGTATACGCGAGATCCGCCGTGCGGTACACATGTGCCCGGAAATCCTAACTGCCTCCGTCCCGTCTACTTTACGCCCCGCGGTCACGTTTCTGGTCCTTGAGGCTGGAGTGGAAGGACGGAACCTTCCCGGCGTCATACACGGCCGGCCGCGGCTTCTCACCTGCAGCGTGGAGGAGCAGCTCCGTCCTGCTCTCACATTCCTGCAAAGTGATGTTGGAATCAAGGATGTTAGCAGATGGACGGCCCTGCTTTCCTGTTCTGTGGAGTCCAAATTCATGCCCAGGCTAGACTACTTTCAGAAACTAGGGTTTTCAGAACGAGAGGCCATGGAAATGTTCAGGAAGTTCCCTTCCTTGTTCTGCTATAGTATTGAAGAGAATATGGAACCGAAATTCAATTACTTTATGGTGGAAACCGAGAGGGAGTTGAAGGAACTGATTGATTTCCCTCAATACTTCTCCTACAGCTTAGAAAAGAGGATAAAACCTAGGCATCAAACCTGCAAGGAGAAAGGGCTGTGTTGGTCCTTGCCTTTCATGCTGAAATCGTCAGAGGTGCAATTTCAGGAGAGATTGCAGGTGAGCTGCAATTCATCTATGCCGGTGAGATCTTCACCTTTGTGGTGTGCCGGAATCTGATCATCATAGGTAAAGATATAATTTCCTATCCAATTGTTCATTTCCATGTATATGTTATTGCGGCAGAATCACATTTTGTCACTGTAAGAGCCCTTCCTGTCTTCCTGTGTATTGTTAATGTATGTTAGAATGCTCCGGTTTAAAATTAGTTTCACTGGTTCATTTAACTTCTCATGTATATTGATCAATGAATGTTGAATAGTATTGGCGGAATGCATGAATATTTCTCTTTCTTATTTCTATAATCAATTGAATTGCATTGTTGGAATCATGCAATATACTCACAAAGTCACAATTTTTAGGATGATTGGTATAACAAACTTTGTGTCATGCAAGCAAGATGTATAGGTACTACACATCTTTCTGTGAAATTAGTTAATTATCTTGTCTCCTCCTCCTCCTCATCATCATCAGTGTAGACTGTAGATGTACATGCATATGAATTCATCAAGACTGAATTTCTCCCCTCCCCACCGACCCTTTGTATGGCATTCTTCTTCTGCAACAGAATCTTAGTTTGTTACGTTTAAGAATAAACAATTGCCTTTAACTTGCTGCCTCAAATACTGTGACGGCGCCATTTCACCAAAGCTTGATGGAATACAGCCTACATCTTTGAACAAAGGTGATATAATTCGTTCACTCTTAGTACTGACAGTAATGCAAGTCTTTCCCAGTGATCAATTTGGTCACCTTTTGGAGCGGGCACCTGGATTGACCACCTCTTTCCAAGTCCATGCCAAACTTTAGGGGTTGGTGCTAATTAAAAGTAGTGCACAATTTTGCTTCTGAATTACTAGTATGTTTAAGTTACTCTAGAACATTAGTTTTTAATGTTCATATTTGGAAAAACACATAAAAGTCAGAATCTTTAAACAAATAAAATAGAAGAGCATGTAGACTATATTTTCAAAATTTTGGGCTTTTTAAAACGGGATGCAACACCTGTCGCATGCCCTAATCTACAACCCTGCCCCGTCTATGTAGAAGGGATCATAGTCTATGTAGAAGGGACCATAAGACTTGTAGGCATGTGCTTTGCAATGGTATTTGTTGATGATGGGTCATGAGTATATCCATGTGTAGGAAGGTAGCAGAGGCCCAGAGGGAGCTAAGAGGCCCCAGTTATATCTTTTTTGATGAAACAACAAAGGTAGTGATATATAGGCCGGGTTGTGGTTGTGGCTAAACAAACAAATCATTTTTTAGGCAAAAACAAAACCATCAGTTTGCTGTATCCTCAAAACAAGTCTCATAGTTGAATCTCTTTTCCCCATTCTGCCTGGCACGGCGTCGACTAGGCGTCGACTAGGCGTCCAGGTGATGGAGAAGGATGGACTAGGGAGATCGACTGGCCAGAAGATTACCAGTCGCGTTTGGCGTCGCCAAGGCGTCGTCCTGGCGTGAACTTGGCGACTTGTGGCCGCCTATTTTAGCCCAGTCAAAAGTCATCCGCAGGCCCAAAGCAGATTAAGGTTTAATTTTTTTTGGAAACGCATTTAATTAAGGTTTTAAGGCGGTGGCCTTCTAATTAAATACACCGCCCGAAGCCATCGATTAACTCACAGTCACAGAGAAGCAACGAATTGACTTCAGAAGGCAGAAGAAGTCGCCGATCAAGCCAATAGCACTATAGCAGACTCCCTGTCCGTCGTTGAAGACTTGAAGGTCGAAGCATACGACGAGACAGTCCAGCTGAGTAACTTGAGTCCACCGATTTCTTATCTAATCATATTTATGATGAGCAATTTTTATCTATAAAATTTTTTTAAGAAGCAGATAACATGTACCGACAAGGTACAGTCTTTCCCTCATACTCGTAATAATAATATATTAAAAAACATTTGTATCTGTTAAATATTTTTCGATGTGATCATTTTTCATCCACTTGGGAGTTGGAAACAAAAATTTTAGAACCACAAATTGACTTCCTCATTCTTTGTAATAAAAAATGCAATTTGATTGTGAATTTGTGGTTCTCTATTCTATAAAACAATAATTTATTCTACTGGTGATATACTGAAAAGTGAAAACTACTATGGTCGTATATTAGTTTAATAAATTGAGTCCCACCATTCCTGTTTTCTTGTGCTCACGCATTCTTTACTCTAAAAATTTAGTTAGTAATATACTTGATAAAAATGTTGTGCGACTCATGAGTACAACAACTTCAAAGCCTTAGTCCCAAAAGATAAAATTATAAATATTTATTAGTAAAAAATATAGTGAAAATTTAAGTTTTGGCCCTTGCTATAAAAATTTCTTAAACCCCGGCCCCTGCAATCTGTCAATCCTGACTTCGCCACTGCTCATAGTTGAATCTATCTTCCCCCATTCGGCCTGGCACGGTCGATCTGGAAACCAGTACTTAATTGGTTATCAAAACCCGGGGTATTAACATGGAAGTGTGGAACCCAACATAGGCTAACAACTGGAAACACCATGCTGGCCCATAAGAACCCGATTTGGAATGAAACTTTGGGAGTATTATTTATGCCTCTTTTTATCTAATAAAATAAACTGCAGCTTAAAAATGAAAGAAATATATTTTATAAAATGTTGTGTCGCATGAGGAAGAGAATATATTTTCAACGTGTTTTTGAGCCTTTTCAAGTATCGTCGTTATGGAATTATTATGAAGAATGTTACTCCGGGACATTCTGACTAGTTGATTACCGGCCTACCGGGTAAAATGCTTATTTGAACACTTTTGAAAAGTTAGGCTGCTTGATTGGATGCTTATCGAGGGGGGCTTAATCAACTCTGTGAATACAGTACATGGGCTTATCTTAGCAGTTTTCTCTATATTTTTCTCTATAAAATGAAAAATACATGTAGTCTCATTTGAAATATATTTGTAAATTACATCTAATCATACATGTCAGAGTTCTTAGATTTATAGAAAATGATAAATAACTTACAATTTATCCCTCGGTACAAATTTCTTTCTAGATTGTCTAAAAAATATGAACGTTTGTCTAAACTCATCTCAATAACCTTTTTTTGTTACTCGTTGAAAGTTGCTGTCCGGTCGTCGCCATTTGAGGCGGTTCCTGGTGAATTTTTTTGATGAATTTTTTGAACATTTTATTCATTAAATCTAGTTTACTCATACCAAATTTCAGCTAAAACATCAATCGGGAAGACATTTAAATGAATTCTTAAAGATAACTATGCTTTTAAATGCGTAATTATCTTCAAGAATTCATTTGAATGCCTTCCCGATAGAAATTGTAGCTGAAATTTGGTATGAGTAAACTAGACTTAACGAATAAGATGCTCAAAAATTTTCGTCAAAAATTTTCATTGGGAACCGCCCCAAATAAGACAAAACTTCCTATATAAGTATTTGACATTTTTTATGCAATTCCGAGTACCAATCTGATTCTTACCTCCTTAAATAACTTCAGTTTGTTTTACTTTTAGAAGCATTTTTCCTTTATTTTCCAGCAAATTTGTCATATTTAAATAAATGGATGTATAATTGAGAGACAATCTTACACCACATTTGCTTTTTGTCCATGAATCATCATACATAGGGCATTTTACCTTTAACTTAGCCCACACCCACAAGATGCAAAAAAATGACATTTACTCGAGAGACCTAGATCGGATTGGGTATCGTCCATGAAAGGAAAATGTTAAATCACTTCCAGAATGCAAATATAGGCCTTTCAAATCCAGATTTCCGACCAGCTGCACAAGAAGTAATATCTTCTACGAACCGAAATCCAATCTGCCATTAAATTGCATATTCATCAAATCAATTTTTTTGTGGGGAAATGTCTAAAATAGGAGTAAAAACAATGTAAATTTCAAAACAAAAGTAGTATGTTTGTTACTCTGAACAAGAGTAACTTACTGTGATTTTGAAGTATTAGGGGTTGTTTACTTTTATTTTCATTAAGTCCTGTTTGGATTAAGACGTCTGTCTGTATTAAGACATCTGTCTGGATTAAGTGGCACTAGGATAACAAGTTGTTTACTATGCGTGCTGAATGTGTTGTCTGAATTATATTAAGTTACCATTTTACCCTTATGTTTGTAACCAATGATGAACATGTACTGTTTGTTTATTTATATGTTCTGAATGATACAAACAAGTAAAATAAAATCATGGCTTTAAAAGCCTGCAATTTCTTACATTGTTTAAAGATACAATCTCCCTCAAATTGGGATAAACAATAAAAAGGGCCTTTGCTATCGAAATTATAACTTTCGCAGCTTTCCTCTCCTATTATTAATTACAGCATCGATGTATTTTTCTATAAGAGTCAAGATAGATATGAAAGATATCGATTTTGACGAAAGCTCAAACCCAAGAACAAGTCAAACTATGCCACACGGGAGTCTAATAAAACAAACTCGAACACATAATCTGAGAGATGAAATCAGATTGTTTGGAAAGTGAAGATCAAGAATAGGGAGGAATTTTGCCATCGAAGAGAAAACAAAAAGTATAGAGTCAGAAAAAATACGAAGATGAAGAAGGCAGGGATGAGATTCCTCTTCGTTGCTGCTCTCCTGATAGCTATTGCAAGTTTCTACTGTAGGCGATTTCTGTAGGTTTATCGCTAGACTTGTATGCGATGAAATATTTTAAAGAAGTTGGGGGTTAAAGATGTCCGTCCATACACAGGCATACGTCTGAATGCGAAGGAGTGTCAAAACGTAGCTGAGCGAATAAGTTATCAAACGTCTTAGCGAATAAGTCCTATTTGATATAAAGTCCTAAGTAAACAACACTATATAGCTAAATGATTAAGTCACGGTTGCTATTAAGCTCATTAAGTCGTAAGTAAACGGGGCCTTAGTGTCATCTTGACAATGCTTTCTAAGCATGACTGTAATCACTCCTAATTAGGGAATAAAAATATAATGCTCCAATTTTGGAATTCCAAAAGGTTTTTCACTCTTATTTAAGACAATTTCTTATATTTCTTTATTCAAAAACCAAATAGAACATCATCGGTACTACTGAGAAAAGGATAAATGTACCTTATCCAAAAGTATGTCCTGAAAATCTTCAGGAAGGATTTTAATATTATGATAGTTAGCCCTAGATGCCTGCAAAATAAATAAGGGAAATTTCTCAACCAAATCAAATTACAACAGAACATTCTGTAGTTTTTCTTTTTGCTTTTCCAGAGGCCAAATGGAAAAATACAAAAAAATAAAAAAAATTACCTCTGAAACCTGGCGGTTATTATAATAAGAACTCCAGGGCTGTGGTTCCAGAATAAACAAACCTCCCTGCAAAGGGTGAGGAGCAAGTTACGTCCACGTTCCATGACGCCATACTTAAAATGCAATTCAGATCATTATTAACTACTAATATAGTAGTACCGGTTTGAGAATCTTCCAGGCTTTAGCAAATAAAGAGATTAGTCCCTCATCACCCCAATTTAAATGCACCCACTTTGACACGCTTAAACTGCCAAAATATGAGACCCCGTTATAGAAATAGATAATGTAATTTAGAATGTAATTGAACTTGAAATATAATGTTGGATATGTGCTGCAGTGAATCAATGAGTAATCTGAGTGTATAAGCTAAAATGAAACAAAAATAATCAGTTGCAACCGCTAGCTAATATTGTACAGCATAGTGTATGTACCATATAATTGTATCATATGACATCCGTTCTGGTGGATACCAACTTCCGACAAAATTTGCCTTCTCAAAAGATACTACTTCAAATAAATTCCTTCCTCCTGATGCCAGAGACTCTTCAGAACTATCCCTTACTCGATCGTCATTAGACGATTCTACCGGATTCCCCACCGATACATTTAACTTATTTGAATCTTCAAATTTAGATGTTTCCCGTGACAATTTCTGTGTAGTGGCCCTTGCTGTTTTTTTTAGGTGCCAATATGCATCGCCAACTCGAGCTGTTAAAGAATGGACAACCAAGTCACTCCCCCTACACAACTCGATTAAAAATTACTTACGTAGTACTGGGTATTAGTTATTGCCCACGCTCACTACATTATGAAGCACGAAACTTAAACCTCCTGGATATTATTACTATGCATTATAAGACAATTCAATCACCAAGCAAGCATCTTCTTCCTACTGTTCTGGTTCTCTACTCCATGTGTCCTGAATTTATCTTTAAGCTTTTCTTTTAAGTCAGTCCCATAAAAACTTTACATTTCTTTTTAGTCAGGAAAAAATTGTCAATTGTGCAGTCATTATTTCACTAAATTCAACCCAAATCTAAAATACACATTTTTGTTTACAACCACACCTCTTAATAAGTGTGTGAGGTCAAAACCAGGGGATAATTTCAAAAAGGGAGTGTCTTTGATAGGAATATACAAGAGCGGATGTTGGCTGTGTACTGAAAATGTAGAAATCATCTGCACTATGCAGCCAACTAAACTGAAAAGGCAAAAACACTAACGCTAGAAAGGTTCGTCTGAGATCTTACCAATATCGATGTCAATTCCAAGAATGCTTTGACAACAAAACTTCTGTGCTGTAGACAAGAAGTGTTTACTAGTCATGATTAATATACATTTATATTTACCTTCCTTTATTCAACCTAAACAATGCAAGATTGAAATGCAAATAAAAATGTAAAGTTATACAAATTTATGATATATAAAGATATACCAATAGCAACAGTAACAGCTCCACTATTACAGCCAATATCAAGACAATTCTTTCCTTCGAACCATTCTTTCTTCATAGCCTTTAACCTAGGATCGTCCTCATGACCAGTCTGTGCACAAGCATAACATGTAGGTGAATCTCCATTTTGGAACTAATGGAATAACTTCACACTTCGAAAAAAAATTCAACATTACACTTTAAAAGGCTAATTTGATTCCCATTGTTATTCCTGAGTCATTTGTATTGTGAAACCGGCAAACAGCTGGAAAAATATAAACTTGAGTGATTGGGCAAGGAGGTTGATATTTGACAGGATTGCATTAGCCGATCAGATGTTAACCTTTGACTAACAAACCGGGTCCAGCAGATGCTTCAAATTTGATAATCCAATGATGCAATTATGCAAATGATTCCAAAAATTGGGGAGAGGTAGGGGGTGGAGGCAGAATGGCAGAAACACTACTCTACGAATTTTCTGGTCAAAGTCTGTACATAGAGTTTTGCTTGAGGCAGCTAAACGTCATAGGATTTCTAATTTTGCTTTATTATCAAATATTTGGGTTGGCAGGCAGGTCCTTTACCATCATCTGTTAGCCATGCTAATCAGGCTGTTTTTAATTGGACTGTAATTTTCTGGTTTGGTCTGGTCTGGTCTCAAAGATGTCTAGTCAATGTTAAAGAAGGAACACACAACCTCTCTAGAAGCGTATTCTCCCTACCGAGCAGATATTCCCTTGGCATACTATGTTTGGATTGGCTGGGCCACCAGTTATTTTGGATCGGTAGCTTGAGCCACAACGATCTGGGACTAGCCCTTCACGGTTTTTATTCCCATTTAGTTTCCTTTCATTTGAATAGTTTTTTTTTCCAGCTTTTAAGTTCGCCTTGGTCTGTATCTTCCATTTGGGACTCTATTAATAAAATTTCTGTTTTTCCAAAAAAAAAAAAAAAAAAAAATAGAACTGTCGAAGTCTAGTCTGGTGTGGTCTGTTTAAGTCCGGTCTAGTCTGTTTAAGACTAGTCTGGTCTAGGACTTAACTCAATCAAAGTAAAAAAAAAATCTGAATCTCTCCATAATGTTTTATTTTTAATGATATTTCAACTTCCCTTAAAAAGTATTTCTCTCCTAGAAGAAACAGTTTGTCTCACATTACTTAGCATAAAAGTTTGTCTCACATTACTTAGCATAAACAGAACCAATATTGAAGAAGCAGAATAAACTATCATACCTTCAAAGATACATAATGCATGCATACATACATGTATAATAGTAATAATATTAATAATAATAATAATAATAACAAGAACAACAAAAACAACAACAATAATGATAGTAAACACCATAGTAACAATAAAATAACAATAAAAAATCACTTAAATATGTTTAAGTCACTAGAAAGATTACTCTGTATCCATAGTAATTTCTGTAGTTCCCAAAGATGGCAACTTCCTTACGCTTCTTATTGTTCGGCTTCAATGGTTTTTCCTCATTATTGTGAAGATTCTTCATTTTTCCTTCATCTTCCATCATCTCTGGATGCTCAAGTAGTGAAGGACAACAAAAAACGTTAGGATTGAGAGTCAGAGCAACGAAGGACAAAAAAACTTTTATTTGAAGAATTACATGCAAAAACAATTATAAAATCCTCATAATAACCATTCTAAGAATGCTACATGGAAAAGGCAGAAACTCATCAGAAAACTAAATGGAATGTAGATAAGAGTACACTTAGAAACACACTAGATTTTGAGCTACTTTCCCTGATTATTATTATTAAATTCTAAACCATCTAATGTGGTGTGCCCCAGCGTAATGCTCTCTTTATTTCTTGGCCAAGTAGCGTTATGTAAATCATTTTTAAAGTAACAAGAAGGCTGAAAGTAATCCATGACTTAAATCGATTGCTTACAGAGCAAACCAGTAGCAAGGTTAGTTTAAAAGCATTTATTTGTGGAAATTGTTAATGAGAACTGCATTTCAATTTTTAGTACTCCGTAATAAAAAATCAGAAATGCGTAGATGACAATGCATGGGGGTAAAGAAAAAAAAAATCTGATTGCTTCACCATGTCAAGCTTGGAAATTAGGCTCTATTTAGATAGAGTGAATAAGTCAAGCTGGTGAACCGTGGATGTAACAGACTAACAGAATGTCGATTGGAGTTTAAGAAGATGAATATACAAAAAATACTTCAAAGAACTTAATTTAAACCAGGTTCTCCACAGACCTAGGATGCCTGTTTTGCCTCGCACCCTAAGCACACTAAAAAATGTCTGCCTTTATCTAGCATAAAAAACTCTACTGTACATGTATGAATCAGTCTATTGAGCATGAGATCCCTTTTCAATATTACTCTTGCTAATATTTTTCTGTTATTATAAAAACATGTATTTGGATAATTTGATGCTTCAAGTTTCAACAAACTTGACAGCACATGCATTTGTATAATAAGATGATTGAAAGGCATCACACCCCGTTATTTAGTTGAGCTGAATCCAGTGCTAAAAATCTCTCTAGGCGCTAGGCGGTGGCCGGACGCCCAAATTTTAGTGTAGGTGTCCCAAATAATTGGTTTGGCGCCTAGGTGAATTAGTCGGCCGCTTAGGGAATTTTGTCGAACATTTTTTTTTTCTTTTTTATATTATTTTTCTAAGATATACTATGTATGTACCTTTATCTTTAAGCACATATATGAAGAAAGCTACTTGTAGATTAAGATAAAAACTATAAATGTTTGTACATGTTCTTAAGTTTTATTATTACTTAATACTCTGTATATATTACTCAGTACTTAATTAAGTTTTGTGATTACTGATTACTTGATTAGTTATAAAATATTATGAATCTATCCTTTGTGCATGTTAATGTGTGTGTATATATATAGTCATATAGACACACACAAACACAACATTACTTTATATTTATGCAAAAAATGTTGATGAAAATATAATTTGCATGTCTTCGCCTAGTCCCCGCCTAGGCACTGGGCGCTGGATTGGCACCCGACTAGCGCCTAGTGCCTTTTAGAACATTGGTTGAATATATGAGCATGTTTTCTGTGAGAAATAAAGTGACATTTTCATGACAGACTATTCTCTTAAACTCAGTACTCTTATGAGATTCAGACAGCTCAGTTTTTAAAAATAAACAAATTTGTAAGTCATTACAAGCCTAAGCACAGTCATGTTCTCTAAGCATGCAAAAAAGTAAAAGTAATAATTTTCCCGGCTAGGGCAATTGAATGATAATATAAAACCTCATTGTGACCATGTAACAAACACATTATATTATATACATTACAAAACATAACACTTAGAATTAACTTTTTATTACGAACTATCCCAAATATAAAATAATTGAACAAAGCCTGCACAATGCCATAAAAGATACTACGTATATAAAACCTGAATTTATTGGAGGATGTTAGTGTGAAAGTTTTACAACATATTTACATGCATTACAATAGTTGAACTTTTTAATTAATATTTTTATTGACTGTCCAACTTTAAAGCAATTGAACAGAGCCCGAACACAGAATATGCTCTCTTCCTCCCATAAATAAGACTTGACCAAGTTTTGGATAAACAGGGGAAATTTCCTTTTTTTGAAAAAAAATTAAAAATTAAGGGGATTAAGAGTATAAAGAAATAATGTTAAGCTTGTTTCTTTAAAGTAAAGATAGAAAGTTTTGGAATAACCAAATCGAACTAAACCCAAAGTGTAGAAAATAGGTAAATATAAAGTACAAAAGGAACATTTTTACCTGAATAGAATGGAAGAAAGAAGACAGGCGGTTGGAGAGCAGCGATTGGCAGTTCGCAGGGGCGGAAACAAGGGGAGCTAGGCGGCGTCGGCGTCCCTCCTTAGCAGGAAATATAAAGGTGGTACTACGTATTATAATCGCTCTATGGAGCTATGCTGTTTTCTGCCCTGTGTTCCGCGGCAAACCTGGGAGATTGGGGCGCTGGATCAACAAGGGGAAGGGGTTCTGGGGAGGGGGCTGGACGAGCGAGTATCAGGGCTGAAACTGTTTCGAAATGTATTTATAAGAGACCTCCCACTAGCCACCCCCACTAGGCACATTAATCTGGACGGGAATGCTTTGTAAATAAAAGGGAAAAACAATAAAAAAATATGTTGTGAAATGAAGAAGATAAAGACTAAATAAAGAGATAGATATATTGATAAAAAGCTCTAAATAACTTCTTCTTAATAATTTCTGAAATTTTCTGAGTTTCTGAATTGCTTGAATTACATTTACAAAGGATTCATCACCCTATTTATACTAGTAGACTAGGAGATGAATCATCAAAGAATGATTCTACATAATCTGTTGGCAACACTAAACCTAGCCATCTGTCTATTACAAGGATTGAACTTGGATTAGTGTCCTGATGACAAGGATGGACATTCACACATGTCATTTTGATGATTTTACAACACTCCCCCTTGAATGTTCATCCTGGAATAGGTATTTGGTATTTTAAAAACTTATTGTGAAAATCAGTGTGAAAATTAAGGGGTAAAGATTACGACATATAATGTCGTTGTATTTGGATGTACTGTCTCGTTAAAAACCTTATCAGGAAAAACCCAGTGGGATAAAAACCTGATGAAGGGAAAAAGAGTGCAGTGCATTCAAATACTTCCCCTGGAATTAACATAAATTTTGAAGGCGGCGCATGCCGATTTTCTGTACAAGTTCAACGAACTTCTTCGGGGTTAAAGATTTGGTGAAGAGATCAGCTGGATTTTCACTGGATCTGATTTGCTGAACGTTGATCGTCCCTTCTTTCTCAAGGTCGTGAGTAGAGAAAAATTTTGGAGATATATGCTTCGTTCTATCTCCTTTTATGTAGCCTTCTTTAATTTGAGCTATGCACACAGTGTTGTCTTCGTAGATCACACTAGGGTAAACAGTAATAGGCTTCATACCGCATTCATTCTGGATGTGTTGAATCATAGATCGCAGCCATACACATTCTCTTCCGGTTTCATATAGTGCAATTAACTCCGAATGATTTGATGATGTAGCTGTCAACGTCTGTTTCATAGATCTCCACGAGATTGCGGTATTACCATAAGTAAATACGTACCCGGTTTGTGATTTTGCCTTTTGAGGATCTGATAAATATCCAGCGTCTGCATATCCGATTAAAGAAGCTTTGGCATCTTTGTGGTAGAATAGGCCGAGATCAATTGTACCACGGAGATAACGGAATATGTGCTTGATCCCGTTCCAATGACGTCTTGTTGGACATGAGCTGTACCTAGCTAATAAATTTACAGAAAATGTAATATCTGGTCTAGTATTATTAGCTAAATACATTAAAGCTCCAATAGCACTCAAATATGGCACTTCGGGACCAAGTATTTCTTCGTCGTCTTCTCGGGGACGGAATGGATCATCGTGTATGTTGAGAGATCGAATGACCATTGGTGAAGTCAAAGGATGAGCTTTGTCCATATAGAATCTCTTCAACACTTTCTCGGTGTAATTGGATTGGTGAATGAAAATTCCATTCTTCAAATGCTCAATTTGAAGTCCGAGACAAAATTTGGTTCTCCCGAGATCTTTCATTTCAAATTCTTTCATAAGATATTTTGCAGTATTTTCAATTTCATCGGGAGTTCCAATAATGTTTAAGTCATCAACATATACTGCAATTATGGCGAATCCCGAATTTGATCGCCGAATGAAAACACATGGACTAATCGGATCATTCTTATATCCTTCTTTGAGAAGGTATTCACTGAGACGATTATACCACATTCGTCCAGATTGTTTTAGTCCATACAATGACTTTTGTAATTTAATGAAAACATGTCTCGAGGTTTCGAGCTATAAGCTTCAGACATTTTAAATCCACCGGGAACTTTCATATAAATGTCTGTATCAAGTGAACCGTATAAATATGCGGTCACTACATCCATTAGGCGCATTTGCAGCCTTTCAAAAACAGACATGCCAATGAGAAACCTTAATGTAGTTGCATCAACTACTGGAGAATAGGTTTCTTCATAATCAATTCCCGGCATTTGAGAAAAACCTTGGGCAACAAGTCGGGCTTTATATCTAACAATTTCGTTCTTTTCATTGCGTTTACGCACAAATACCCATTTAAAACCCACAGGTTTTAAGCCTTTTGGCGTAGGGACTATCGGTCCAAAAACATCACGTTTTTCAAGTGATTTTAATTCAGCCTGAATAGCTTCATTCCATTTTGGCCAATCGTGTCGTTTCCGACATTCTTCTATTGATGTTGGCTCATTGTCATTGTTTTCATTCATAACATTTGTGGCAATGGCATAGACAAATATCTCGTTAATATCAATATCTTTTCGATTCCATTGCATTCCAGTAGAAACGTAATTTATTGAAATTTCATAATTATCAACGTTTCTATCAGTATCTGGAATATCTTCCTCATTTAAGGAAGTTGGATCATTATTTGAGATGTTTGTTCTGTCAGTATCATTTTCTATGCCAGTATTTTCAAATTGTTCATTTTCTTGTTCAGAAGGATGAACATCTTTGGCATCACAGATCAATTCCTGCCTTTTAGTTCTTCTTGGTTTTATGTCTTTTGATCCAAGGGGCCTACCACGCTTTTTGCGTATAGAAGAATCATTTGCAAGAGATTTTTCAAAATTCTCTGCTGGAATTTCGATTCTGGCAGGGGCATTCATAGCAGGAATATGTGACTTTGTCACTTTCTTTGTATCTGTGAATGCATCAGGCAACTGATTTGCAACATTTTGTAAATGGATTATCTTTTGCACCTCTTGCTCACATATATTTGATCTAGAATCAAGGTGTGATAATCCTGTTGCATTCCATGTTATTTCTTTCGTACTTGGGTCCGATTTATTAGTTTCTCCCCCTAAGGTTGGGAATACTGTCTCATTGAAATGACAGTCAGCGAACCGTGCGGTGAATAGGTCACCAGTCATTGGTTCAAGATATTTGATTATTGAGGGAGATTCAAATCCAACATAAATTCCCAACCTTCTTTGAGGACCCATTTTTGTACGATGAGGTGGAGCAATCGGAACATAAACAGCACAACCAAATATTTTTATGTGTGCTAAGTTTGGCTCTTGTCCAGTAACTAATTGCATAGGGGAATATTCATGATATGCAGTCGGTCTAAGCGAATTAAATTTGCTGCATGCAAAATAGCATGTCCCCAAACTGATGAAGGTAAATTACACTTCATTAATAATGGTCTAGCGATTAATTGTAATCGTTTAATCAAAGATTCAGCAAGACCATTTTGTGTATGGACATGAGCAACAGGGTGCTCCACATCAATCCCAATCGACATACAATAGTCGTTAAATGATTGGGAAGTAAATTCTCCTGCATTATCAAGTCGGATTCTCTTTATAGAATGATCCGGAAAATGAGCTCTTAATCGTATAATTTGAGCGAGGAGTTTAGCAAATGCTAAATTTCTAGTCGATAAAAGACTAACATGTGACCAACGTGTTGAAGCATCAATCAACACCATAAAATATCGAAATGGTCCACATGGTGGGGCTATCGGCCCACAAATATCTCCTTGAATCCTTTCTAAAAATGCAGGTGATTCAGTTGCAATTTTGTTCATAGAAGGCATGATGATCATTTTGCCAAGAGAACAGGCCTTACAAGGAAAATCCCTTGATATTGGAACCCTTATATTCTTTAATGGGTGTCCAAGTGAAGTCTTAATGATTTTATGCATCATTACATGGCCTGGGTGACCTAAACGGTCATGCCACAACATGAATGTTTTCTGATCATCTAACTTTGCGTTAGAAACCAAATTTATTTCGAATGGACTAATATGAGTGAAATATAGTCCTGAGGAATATGCTGGCATTTTTTCACAAATACATTTAGTGCCAGATTTAGTTGTCGTTAGACAAAGATATTCCTTTTGGTTTTCATTCATGGTTTTTATGTGATAACCATTTTGACGCATATCTTTAAAGCTTAATAAATTTCTCCGCGATTTGCTGGAGTATAAAGCGTCATTTATAAGTAATTTTGTCCCATTAGGGAGCATAACATATGCTTTCCCAGAGCCTTCAATGAGCTTCGCAACACCTGATATTGTATTGACTTTAGCTTCAACTAAAGCCATTTGAGAAAAATAGATTTTATTCCTCAAAATGGTGTGCGTTGTGGCGCTGTCTATCAGACATAGCTCTTTATCACTTGAGTGATCCATATCTTCAATATATAAATAAGCATAAGTTTGATATGCAAGTAACACAAATTATGCATCATATATAACATTAAAGTACATATATTACATCATTATTTATGAAAACAACATAAAGGTAACCTAAAGAAAAAGTACACGATGACATAAAAGTCTTATAATTTATTTTGTGTTATTTTGATCAGTGGCAAATGCATCATCCATTATGCTATCATCCATAAAGAAGTCGGACACATCAAATTTTGGCAGAGATGGAGTTGTGTCATTGACATAATTCGCTTCCACATTTTTGCCTTTGTTTAAATTCATGGAAGCTTGAAATAACTCCACAAGATGCTTTGCAGTACGGCATTTGTTAGCCTAGTGTCCCGTCATGCCACATTTGTAACAAGTCGTTTTCACCGAGGTTTTTGTAGGGCGATTTGTTTGATGGGCTTTTTGTTTGCCCTTGCCCTTGTAATTTGGCCTTTCGACCTGTTTGTATTCTCGGTGTGACTTGTTTTTATGACCATTAAAATGCCCATGTTTAAAATGCCTTCTACTGCCACTGTGTGTTGCGTTTGATTCAGTGGCTATATTATGTCCAGATGGACCATAAATCGAAGGACTAGAACCAGTGGGTCTTAAATTGTGGTTCTTCATTAAAAGGTCATTATTTTGCTCAGCGACCAGTAAAACTGATATAAGGTCAGAGTATTTTTTAAATCCCTTTTCTCTATATTGCTGCTGTAGCAGCATATTAGAAATATGCATTGTAGAAAAGGTTTTCTCCAACATATCAGCATCAGTGACTTTTTGTCCACATAACTTTAATTTTGATGTTATTTGGAACATAGCAGAATTATAGTCACTGATAGAT